CGGAACGGGCCGGTGTGCGCACGCGCACACTGCCCATTCTGCATTGCGGTCATCGGAAGCCCGCCCCTCAGCGGGGCGGGCTTTCGATGATCGCAAGCACGATCTGCCCGTCCAAGGTGGGCAGATCGTAGGAGCTTTCAATAAGCATACGACCATCGCAAGACAAAAGTCTTGCGATGGTCGTAAGGTGTATGGGTACATTTAGGAAATTCACTGCACTGTTCACTGTATGTAAAGGAAAGGTATTTACTCATTGCGCAACCTTAACCCTAAGGTACCCCTCCCTGTACCCCTCCCTGTACCCCTCCCTGTACCCCTCCCTGTCTATGCATCGTATATAGAATCCTGCAGATAGAGGTCAGGAGCTTCATCTATTGTCCACATCAAACACCAGAATAGGAAAAATGGGGCTATGACCATGGTGGGACTGTCGGAACCAGGCGGCTGGGTGGAGTATTTCTGAATCTGCTGCTCCGGTGGGGACACGGCTCCTGAGCCCGCCTCCACTCACAAATCTTCAAGCCATAGGGAGCAAATTTCATGTAACTTCCTTCATTCACATAGAAGGGCCACCTGCTTCTTGCCCAGTAGTGGCTCCACCTCCCTCTTGCCCAGTAGGGACTCCACCTCCCTCTTGCCCAGTAGGGACTCCACCTTCTTCTTGCCCAGTAGGGGCTCCACCTCCTTCTTGCCCAGTAGGGGCACCACCTCCCTCTTGCCCAGTAGGGGCTCCACCTCCCTCTTGCCCAGTAGGAGCTCCACCTCCTTCTTGCACAGTAGGGGCTCCACCCCCATCCTGTCCAGTAGGGGCTCCACCTTCTTCTTGCCCAGTAGGGGCTCCACCTCCTTCTTGCCCAGTAGGGGCACCACCTCCCTCTTGCCCAGTAGGGGCTCCACCTCCCTCTTGCCCAGTAGGAGCTCCACCTCCTTCTTGCACAGTAGGGGCTCCACCCCCATCCTGTCCAGTAGGGGCTCCACCTTCTTCTTGCCCAGTAGGGGCTCCACCTCCTTCTTGCCCAGTAGGGGCACCACCTCCCTCTTGCCCAGTAGGGGCTCCACCTCCCTCTTGCCCAGTAGGGACTCCACCTCCCTCTTGCCCAGTAGGGGCTCCACCCCCTCTTGCCCAGTAGGGGCTCCTCCTCCCTCTTGCCCAGTAGGAGCTCCACCTCCTTCTTGCACAGTAGGGGCTCCACCCCCATCCTGTCCAGTAGGGGCTCCACCTTCTTCTTGCCCAGTAGGGGCTCCACCTCCCTCTTGCCCAGTAGGAGCTCCACCTCCCTCTTGTCCGTAGGGGCTCCACCTCCCTCTTGCCCAGTAGGGGCTCCACCCCATTCTTGCCCAGTAGGGGCTCCACCCCTTTCTTGCCCAGTAGGGGCTTGATCCTAGATTTTGGACCCTTTATGTGAATTGAAGAAGTCTTAAGCTAAACTCGGTGTGTGGAGTTTGCGCCGTATTGGTTGTCCATGAGGGAGGTCAAAGAGGAGAATGTTCAGACTGGTTGGAGCCGATGGAAAGGGGCCAATAACCGATCTTCACAACTGTGGTGAGCAGAAAAGCATCTCGGAATGTAGGACACATTGAGCCTTGAGGAGGATGGGCTCGGAAGACCACGTTGGGTTCCTGACAACCAAGAACAGAAACTTGAGGATGTGAAGGAGGGGCGCAGGATCTCCCAAACTGGACAAATGTGGCCTGATCTGCCGGGTTTCATTTCCAAGATGGTAGACCAATCACCAGATCTGAGTCCCGATCCAATGACAGGGAGCAGAATCTGAAAGGAACGTTTGTGGAATGTGAAGTCTGTACAATGAATGAGGAGGAATGATGGGTGGAGACCCGACCCGGTATTAGTATAGTGTCCCTAATAAAGTGCTCGGTGATTGTACATAGTATTGGAGTGGATTGGTAGCACTGGCCATCTGGCGGGGGAGAAAGTCTCCCCTCCCCCAGTGATCAGTCTGCTGCAGGCAGGAGGAAGCGTTTCTTCAGACTCCCCTCCCCCAGTGATCACTCTGCGGCAGGCAGGAGGAAGAATTTCCTCAGTCCCCCCTCCCCCAGTGATCAGTCTGCGGCAGGCAGGAGGAAGCATTTCCCCAGTCTCCCCTCCCCCAGTGATCAGTCTGCGGCAGGCAGGAGGAAGCATTTCCCCAGTCTCCCCTCCCCCAGTGATCAGTCTGCGGCAGGCAGGAGGAAGCACTGAAGGTGGTTTTGTATTGATGTGTCATTATATTTTGCAGTGAAGATGGATCCTCCCTTTAACTTGAGCACAGAAATTACCGGCAATTTGGAGTTGATGCTCAGATGGGAACAGTCATTCGGCACCATCCCCTCGCACTGTGTGACTTACCGGGTGAAACATCGGACTCTGGCCAGTGACAGTTGGACGGTAATACAAGTTAAGGTTTCAGATGTTCTGTAGAATCTTTTTTGGGCCCGTTCCCACCTATCAGTCTGCATCGGCACCACGCTTGTGTAGGCGTCAATGGGCCCCCAGACGGCTTCACACTTCAACATGCCGTAGAACACAGGTTGACACGCGGTACTGTCTGCATTGCAGCGCCATTCAATGAAGTCCCATTCACACCTATGAGTTGTGTTATATGCACAGGTTGGGCAGATGGGTTGACGTGCGTCGCCCGTGTTCTTGAAGCGCCAGGCATGTTATAAGACATGTTGATGACAATGACACATGTAGGTGTACGTCCATCCTTAGAATGGCGCCTACACATACAGTAGCCGCCAACATACCTGCCATACAGCTCACCACAACACGGCATCCGGTGCTATCACACACCCATCAGGCTCTTTGGAATGCTCTCTTCCGCATGCCAATAGGCTGCTTCCCCCGCCTTGTGCTGTCCGTAGCTCCACCCCTGAGGAGCTATGACACTGCTCTACCCCCTGGGACACTCTAGTGACGTAGCGGCCGCTGAACATAACCCTATGTTTCTTTCCTGGTATGACCATGTCCACTTCTGTCCGGCAGGAGAAGGACGCCTCGAACACCCTCTCTGTCCTGTCCAGCTTTGACAGCTGCCAGAATTATACATTCCACGTGAAGACCAAAATGAGCAACGTCTGTGCCAATGCGTTCATGTGGAGCGAGTGGAGTGAAGGGGTCACATGGGCGAGGAACGCCACCGTGTGCGGTAAGTACATAAAGTGTTATGGTCACATGTCACTAAAACTAAACTGCAGACAATCAACCAATTACAGAGACAAGAAAAATATATACTTATCAATGAAGCTGCTTTCTGCCCATCCAGTCCCGAGCCTTACTCAGCTCTGCCACACAGCGCAGACACTTACAGCGAAGGAAGTGGTGTCCTCTCTCCATCTCCAGCCATGATGACTGGATAGTGAAAGAGCAGCAGCTGACCAGTAAGGTGAACCCTCTGCTCAATCCGTTCTCTCTCCTTCTATCAGCATGCTCCTTTGTCAGCACATTTGCATGTAGCACACCTGATTGGCTCCCAGTCCTCCCCTCCCTTACTCTCCCAGGCTGCTGTATAGCATTCTGGTATGTACTTTGCATGCGTTTAAAAAATACATTTAGGCCCATGATGTGTCACAAATTCATATGTGTTCCTTCCAAGTGAATGGGCTGCCAGTGCACAGGAACTGATCGAAAAAGGGGCGTGACGCATTTTTATTCAGACATAGTGCACCACAATGCATGGGTGTATGTTGGAGCTGCGTTGTCCAATGGCACGTAACACGCTAAGGCACATAACGTGTGTTGCAGAAACGCATGTTTCATGTCTGCCTTTATTGATGTATGACTAGACACAGAGCTGAGTTAATTTGTATCTTTTATATGTGTCCGGATATAAAATGTTTCAGATTCAGATTAGCGCCTCCGCCGCCACGCACGGTCCTGAGGCGGCCGCGTTGTGACATCACGCGCTCGTGTCACACGTGGTCAATGGCGATCCCAGAACTGTCCCGACAAGAGATACATTGTATATCCCAATCATTGTATGTTATTCGTCTGATTGATCGTTCTGCATTTCTAGATGAGCAGCCACCGGCAAAGCCGTCATCAAAAATCGTGAACACCGGGATCACCGTTGGGTTGACTCTGCTGATTGTGGTGATAATCTTGGCAGTGGTTGGACAAGAGAGGTGAGCGTCCGTCACACCGTCCAATGACTACGAGAACACATAATCCCCAAGCGCTTATATTTCCCCCTTCCCTGGTCCCCCAATAGATTAAATGTCATTTGTGGTCTTAAAGCCAAACTCCGTCACATCTCAGAGCTCGGTGGGTGGGAAGTGACGAGACAAAAGCCCCGGCAGTATGGTGGAGGTCCCACGTGTGACGTCTGTATGACTCAGCGGGTGGAAGGATCTCTGTGGTGACGAGCCGAGTGACTTCACTGACAATGAAATGATTCATTTGACCTGCGATGTACTTTGGCTGAACGTAGACTCAGATTCCTCCATGTGGTCGGCTGACCCAAGATAGACCTGACACCGAAACATCTCATTGTAACTAGTCCATGTGATCGATATCTCAGTGCTAACGTGGCCGTTGGTGGCTGTGGGGGATAAACAAAGCCGACCTTAACTCTAACACTAGCCTTCATCCTACCCCTACTCCCACCTCTACCCCTAACCCTAACCCTAATGATAGCCCTTATCCCTTGTTATACAAAGCCAACCTCAACCCTAACACTCCCCTTAACCCTACTCTTACTACCACCTCTACCACTACCCCTAATGATAACCCTTATCCCTTGTCAAACAAAGCCAGCCTCAACCTTAACACTACCCTTAACTCTACTCCCACCTCTACCCCTAACCCTAGTGATAACCCTTATCCCTTGTCAAACAAAGCCAGCCTCAACCTTAACACTACCCTTAACTCTACTCCCACCTCTACCCCTAACCCTAGTGATAACCCTTATCCCTTGTCAAACAAAGCCAGCCTCAACCTTAACACTACCCTTAACTCTACTCCCACCTCTACCCCTAACCCTAGTGATAACCCTTATCCCTTGTCAAACAAAGCCAGCCTCAACCTTAACACTACCCTTAACTCTACTCCCACCTCTACCCCTAACCCTAGTGATAACCCTTATCCCTTGTCAAACAAAGCCAGCCTCAACCTTAACACTACCCTTAACTCTACTCCCACCTCTACCCCTAACCCTAGTGATAACCCTTATCCCTTGTCAAACAAAGCCAGCCTCAACCTTAACACTACCCTTAACTCTACTCCCACCTCTACCCCTAACCCTAGTGATAACCCTTATCCCTTGTCAAACAAAGCCAGCCTCAACCTTAACACTACCCTTAACTCTACTCCCACCTCTACCCCTAACCCTAGTGATAACCCTTATCCCTTGTCAAACAAAGCCAGCCTCAACCTTAACACTACCCTTAACTCTACTCCCACCTCTAACCGTAACAATAACCTATACCCCTTGCTGATACACAAAGCCGACCTTATCTCTAACACTACCCCTAGCTCTAATGATAACCATTACCCCTTGTCAAACAAAGCCAGCCTCAACCTTAACACTACCCTTAACCCTACTCCCACTTCTTAACTCTAATGATAAGCCTTACCCCTTGTTATACAAAGCCAACCTCAACCCTAACACTACCCTTCACCCTACTCTCACCTCTAACTGTAACAAACCCTTATCCTATGCTGATAAACAAAGCTAACCTTAGCCCTAACACTACCCTAAACCCTACTCCCACCTCTAACTCTAGTGATAACCCTTACCACTTGCTGATAAACAAAGCAAACAAAGCCAAGCCAACCAAGCCCTAACACTACCCTTATCCCTACCTCTACTCCCAGCACTAACGCTAACAATACCATAAACCCTACCCCTATCTCTAATGATAACCCTTACCCCTTGTTATACAAAGCCAACATCAACCCTAACACTACCCTTAAGCCTACTCTCACCTCTAACAATAACCCTTACCCCTTGTTATACAAAGCCATCCTCAACCTTAATACTACCCTTACTCCCACCTCTAACTCTAATGATAACCCTTGCCACTTGCTCATAAACAAAGCCAACCTTAACCCTAACACTACCCTTAACCCTACTCCTACCTCTAACTCTAATGATAACCCTTACCCTATGCTGATAAACAAAGCCAACCTTAACCTTAGCACTACCCTTTACCCTACCCCTACCTAACAATCATTCTTACTCCTTTTTGATAAACAAAGCCCTGGGATCATCATCTGAACACTTACCTGGTAATCAGTGGCATTGTTAATACCACTACCCCATGGTTATGCCCCCGATGAAAGGAGCTCTTGGAACACATGACACGTATTGGACTTGTTTACACAATTACAGTGATCAATAAGTTATATTTGGACTGTTACCAATATTTTGGGAATTTTATTTTTCTACAAACCTTGAGATGTTACCCTAAGGGTCGGGCAAGGGTTCATCATGCATTTAGGAGTTGCCTTAAAAAGAGCTGCAGAGGGGTCCAACCTTCCACCACTCCCCCGATTCAATGATACATACGAGTCCTTCTAATGTGAACCTGAAACTGAAGAGACAAATCTGATCCAGGACTGAGCCCATAGTTGTTGAGGGTGAATAAAGACACGGGTCCACCCAGTTCAACCTATGTGTGTGTGTGGGTCACTAAGAGCAGTATATACCCCTGTATATTGTGTTCACTGAGGAAAGTATCCAAACATTTTTTGAATGAGTCTATAGTCCCAGTTGATACCACCAGGGCAGCCATCAGAAATTTTGGGGCCCCTTACACGGCTTTAGGCCAGCCCCCCCCCCCCCCCCCCCCCCCGGCGC